GTAGCCCTGAGATCCTCTAAGCAAAGCAGACATTTGTTAATATTGTGTATATTCATATCCATTAGTTTCCAACAAATTGGAAAGTATTATGAATCCCACCACTCACAACTGACCTCATTTTCAGACTGTGGGTTTGAATTCTGGCTCTGCCATTTGCCAGCTGAGTGACCTTGGGCGAGTTACTTCACCTCTCTGTGCTTCAGTTCCTGCCTCTATCACATGGAGAATGGCACAACTTATATGACATAGAGTGTAGACATAGGGTGTAGAGGGTATTAAGTCAGCCAATACGCTTAAAGTGCCAGCATATAATAAAGTATTGGCTGTTTTTATGAAAAAACAGCATAATGATACAGTCTGTCCAGAAAAATATCACCTAAAGCCTGCCAGCCCCCATGACAGCTATTTTTATATTTGCATATTGCAGTTCAGGGTTTCCCGGGGCTGCAAACCATTTCATGCATATTGCAACCATTGTCCCCAGAGCCCTGGTATTTCGTCATTGGACAGTGGTGCCTATGATTAATACTAAGTTGTAGCAGACTTTTCCCAATTCACCAAAATCATATAAACCAACAGGCAGAATTTTCATGACTTTCAGCTTTTCTTCCATTAATTTTTCCCTAAACTCTTGGTGCCAGCCTGCCCTGGCCTGCATAGAAAGTGAGGAGAGTACCAGCTATGTCAGTACTTTGGGGGGGGGTTCCACAGGGAGCCCTGGATTTGGGGCCTGCACAGCTGTGGGTGCAGCTATGGTGTATGTATTTCAGGTCCCTCACCAGGACCGGGTCCCTAACATGGCAGCAGCAGGGACGTTCTTTAATAGCCCCAGTGCCAGAGAAGTATTGTCACCCTGGGTTTTGATTGACATACAAACTAAAGCTCAGGGAGACGGAGGGGGACTTGCCCAAAGTCACACTGACAGTGGTCAGGGGCCCTTCAGCCCAGATATCTCTTCCTTTTCATTGCTGTGTTGGCATAGAGCAGGTGGCTGGGGGTTGTGCTGTCTGTAGGGCCACCTCTTACATTTATTTGCAGGGGTGTTCATTGCACCCAGCTGAGGGGCCGAGTCGGGGCTGACATCCAGCCCCTGCTCCGTCCACTAGGCTAGGAGCGCTGGCACTGGCTGCATCCTCCTGAAGAGAGGGGGCCTCTTGCTAAATTGTGCCCACGCCCCCTGTGGGCTGTGCTCACTCACCCCTGGCTCCCTGCCTTGACCCAGACTACGAGCCTCAAGAGGAATGGAGCCCCTGGTCTCCTTGCAGTGCGAGCTGCGGCAGTGGCAGCCAGCAGAGGACTCGGCCCTGCGGCTACGCCTGCACTGCCACCGAGTCCAGTGCCTGCGACCTGCCCCCCTGTCCTGGTGAGATGAGCAGCAGCTCCTGCGTAAAAAGTGGCGTACACTCTGGGTTTGGCCCCCTGGGAATGCGGATATGTGAAGCTTGTACGAGGCGGGGACTTGGGCAAGGGCATGCAGAAACCTCACAAACATGGTGGTCCTGCCACATCCCAGGCCTGTCCCAGATGCTATGGGCCCCGAGAGTCTAGTGAGGGCTGGGCTTCCCCAGTGGGAGCAAAGAGGTGCCCTGGGGCACCACCAGCCTGGCCTCCTCTCTTCCCAAAGGCACCAAGGACGAGGACCCCTTGGGCTTTCCCAGTGAGGGGTGGCAGCCCCTGGCCCACAATGCTACGGACATGCTCCGCCCAGGTCAGTGGGGACTAGTCCTTATCCCTGGGGGTGTTGGGGAGAACCTCTTTTAGGAGGGTGGGGCATCATTGCGCGGGCAGGAATCTCACCTCCATCCATTGAGGCAGAGGGTACGTGTTCCAGCTGGACGGTTAGCCTCCCCAGCAAAGGGACTCTAGCATTTCTGAACCCCATTAGACAGGCCCGTTGGCCTCTCCCAGCCTGATATTCCTGCTGGGAAGAAGGTCTTCATGGGAACCACAGAGCTTGGAGATCATCCGGGGGGGATATTCTCCCTGGCAACAGGATGGGATGGGGACCTTCTGGCTTCCACTCCTGGGTCACCCTTGGAGACTCCTGGGCAGGCTCTGTTTGGGGAGGAGGTGCCGTCAGAAGTGGGTCAGGGTCCAGAATTCCAGGACTGCTCCTTCCAGCAGCTTGGAGCAGGCCATGCTTTGACCAGCATACTCTGCATCTGTGTTGCTTGGTCTCACCGGCGGCGCGTCACAAAGAGGCAGGCGGCTGCCAACGCCCCCTTCCCCTCCCCCCATTGCAGATCAGGTCCATGCTCAACACCACAGAAGCTCATTGTGCGCCTGGCACTGTGCTGGGGCAGGGGATTCTCAGAAGACAAAGCCCGGTACCTGCCCTCAAGGAGCTCAGGTCTTATGGGGAAGAGGCACGTGACCAACTTGAGGACTGCACTGTAAAGTGCGCCCAAAAGGTCTGGAGCAAAGAGGAAGGAGCAATTTGTTCTACATGGCAAGTGTCAGAAGCCACATTTGCCAAGGTAGAGGGGGAGGCGGGCAGCATAGACAGAGTGGACCCCTGGGGACCCAGAGTGGCAGAGTGACTCACCCAAAGTCATCTGGCTTGAGAAAGGCAGAGTTAAGAACAAGAATGGGCCAGTGGGTAAAATACTGAAAGACTTTCTCAGTAATTGGTTAAAACTGCTCTCCCAGCCCCGACCACTCCAGCTGCTTCCCCAGGATCCCAGGCTCTTTCCCGCCACCCAGCATCTAAAGGGACAACACCTGGCACAGCAGAGGGCCTCCAGGCCCCTCCTCCAGCCCCTACTGCGTCTATTGTGAGCCATGGCCTCTTGCTTCAAGTTGCCTGGATGTGTGTGGGAGCCCCTATCTGTCAGCCGTGGAGGCCAGCTCCAACTGCCCCTAGCTCTGGGTTGGGTCCTTCCGCTTGTGCCCCTAAGGCCCTACCAAGCCATGTCTTTGCACCAGCTGGGGCCTGGGCCTTCTCTCTTCATTGGCCCTTGATCAGCCCCCACCTCACCAAGGGGCTGACCAGTTCCCCTCCCACACTTCCCTGCCCTCTGCAGATGTGGACAGCTGTGAGAAGTGGCTGAACTGCAAGAGTGACTTCCTAGCCAAGTACCTGAGCCAGGTGCTGCGGGACCTGCCCAGCTGCCCATGTGCGTACCCACTGGAGGCCGTGTACAGGGCCGTGAGCCTGGAGGACGCGCACCAGGGCCGCAGCTTCCAGTGGAAGGATGCCAGTGGCCCAAGAGAGCGCTTGGACGTCTACCAGCCCACGGCGCGCTTCTGCCTTCGCTCCCTGCTATCCGGGGAGAGCAGCACGCTGGCCGCCCAGCACTGCTGCTATGACTCGGGCAGCCGGCTACTGACCCGAGGCAAGGGCGCCGGGGCGCCCGACCTCATCAGCACTGACTTCTCACCTGAGCTGCACTTCAAGGTGGACACACTGCCGTGGATCCTGTGTAAGGGGGACTGGAGCCGCTACCATGCTGTGCGGCCTCCCAACAATGGCCGGGCCTGCGCTGACAACCCTCCCGAGGAGGAGTACCTGGCCCAGCTGCAGGAGGCCAAGGAGTACTAATGAGAGGCCTGCTGTGCTGGAGAGTTCTCCTTGCAGCCCCCTCACCCAGCCCCTGCCCACACTGGCTGAGTGCAGACTCGTCCTGGGAGGCTGGTCTGGCCCCATAGCCCTCTGCCCGTGAACCCGAGGCAGGTCAGCACCCCGGTGTTGAGGAGGGGTTGGAGAGTGTACAGGGCCCAGGGTGAGGGGCGGGAGCTCAGCCCCAGGGTGCCTGGGGGTGCAGTGGACATCCGTGTCCCTGGGGGCCTTCCTCTCCTGCCTGCTGGGAGGCACTGCCCCAGCCTGGCCACTCATTGCCCTCCCCCTCCCTCGGAGGTGGGCTCTCCTGCCCTGGCTGTGCACACAGGTGTGAGCCAGGCTCTAGGCTCTCCACACAGCCTGATTCCCAGGACCTGTGGTGAATGACTCTGACCCCCAGTCCTGAGGGCCACCCCGCAGCTGCCTGTTGTCAGGCTGATGGCCAGCCCTGCGTGACCAGCCCTCCTTAGCTCTGAGTGGTTGCACATGACCCTCTCGTCCCAGTGCTTGCTGGGAGCCGCTGGGCAGGAGGCTTATCCTCAGCTCCAAGCTTCCTTTCGGTGGATGCCACTTTAGTCTAAGGCTGAAGGCCATCAGTGGACAGACAGGCTGAGGCAGCTGAGACGAGGCAGGCTCCAGACGGGTAAAGGATCACCCCGTTCAGCTCCTGTTCTTTGTCCAGCCCACCTCTGTTCTGTCCAGGTTATAGGAATGTGCAGGGCTGGGAGATGGCACTGCCCCAAATGGGGGAGTGGCAGCTTATCACAGCAGCCAGGCTTGGGGTGGGCTCAACACCAGCTCAGGAGGATGTGTCATGCTCCTGTGGTGCCCTGGTAAACCAGTTTTCCAGGAAGAGCGTAGGGGGAGCCCTGATTTGTAGCCTTTGAGTAGTTTCTGTGATGTAAAATACTCCCACCGTGGCCCATTTCAAGCTCCATGGTGATGTCACTGAATGCACTGAGCTCAGCGTGGGGAAGAGATGCACATGATCAGCTCTCCCAGCACACCTGTGCCTCTTCCTGCTGCCCCTCAACCCCAAACCACGCTTCCTTGCCTTCTGTGGGGTTGAAATGCTGAAGTCCCAGCTGTCTCTGTTCACAAAAGCCTCCACAAGATAGGGGACTTCAGCCCTGGCCCCTACACAGCTGCCCTGAAGCTCTCTGGGATCCTCAGCAATAAAGCACTTTATTTTCCAGTTCTGTCTGATGAAGAATTTGGGGCCTAGCAGAGCAGAGGGGTGTCGGGAGCTCTAGCTTACAGCCAAGCGGAGCTCCTTTCTAGCTCCCACAGATGTGTTTGTGACTGCCTATTCCAGCTGGGCAGGCAGAGCTCCTGGGGAGCAGAGATTCCACCCCACCACCCTTAACAGTACCTGCACTTGTAAAGGGCTGCCCGGGAGGCACGGAGGAGCTGGCTGGACCTCAGGTACATTCACTCTCAGTTTTTTGGCCCAAGAGGTAAATTGCATTTACTCCAGAGGAAGTGGCCCCACTTCCCCAGGTAACTTGCTGCAAGGGGATCCACTGCAGAGTTGTCCAGAGGAATATATGTAGGATGACAGAGATGGCCCTGTACCCCGCCTCAGCTTGTACCCTTGCCAGACACCCTGCTATCACTCCTGGCATTGGGGGAAGAAACGAGACATGTCAGAATGTAGAATGAGGCAAGGTGTGTCCTGAGTCACTACGCGGAGAAGCCCAGACAGCCGATTCGCATCACACCTAGAGGTAAGTTTATTAGTCTGGTCCTGGACCACAGTCTAAAAATACTCTGATGCAACTATTATAGGAACAGAGAGGGCAGGATCTCAGGTCACCAGATGGAAGCCAAGTTTATTTCTCTCTCTCTCCCTCTCTCCCTCCCTCCCTCTCTCCCTCTCTCCCTCTCTCCTCTCCTCTCTCCCTCTCTCTCCCTCCTTCTCCCTCTCCTCCCTCTCCTCCCTCTCCTCCCTCTCCTCTCTCTCCTCTCTCTCTTTCTCCTCTCTGGAAATTCAATACAATTAGCATGGGCGTGCTTTAATTATTTTTTAGCAGGAACTTAAAAAAAATAGAGACATTCCAAAGCCTATTTTCACAGAAAACTGCAAATCTCCCTCCTTTCTAATACTATACTTTGACACTGAAACATGCTGTCTAAATTCAATCTATACCTAATGGTTGTCTATGTAACTCAAACTGAATTTGACCAATCCCCTTTTTAAATCTGTAACCTTCGCGACATGCTAATTTGCTACCATGTCAGGCCACAGATGAGAGAAACTAAAGAAAAGGGGCTGAACGGAGCCTTGAAGGGGCTGGGGAGTAGGTCAGCTCTCAAATGGTGTTTATTCAAAGTCTCCAAAGGAGAAACAGACACTGCAGGCTTAGGGCACACCTGTGTGTGAGGGGAAGCAGTGATGGAGGGCTCACTGAATGTGAAAGGGAGGGTTTTAGGAGGGGCGGGTATCAACCAGAGGAGCCAGTGTCAGTCGTGTTACCTGTGTGATTAGCTGTTCTTTTGTCCCAAACACCAGGTGGCCAGGAGCTGCTCATGGCCACCCATGGAGCACGACCACCACCGTTTCCGACTTAGACGGTTTCGCCCAATTTTCCCACTCTGGTTTACCTCACAAAGGGTCCCGGTTTTGGGGAAGCCTGGGTCAAACTGAATTATTAGTAGGGCTGAAAACAACCAGCAGTACAAACCCTGCCAGATACTGCAGGCCTCCCTGGTCTCTTGGGAGATAGGATGTTTCAAATCCTTTGCCTCCATGATTCACAAAAGGGACCCAAAATGTGCTTTGGCTCCTCCATTAAATTCGATTTGCTTATCGTGCTCAGACGCTTCTCAAAATGAACTGATACCAAAATGACCGGATATTTATTAACATGCAGCTTCATGGGCGACACCCACTAAGAATCTCTAGGGGTGGGGCCCACTTTTCTCTATTTAACAGGTGGTTCTCAGGTGAGGAGAATCCTTGGCCTAGGATTGGCAATTTAGCCAATGAACCCACTTTTGAAAGTATTCTTGCTCCAGGAAAAACGCTTGGGCTTGTGAGTCCCGAAGTAGCAGGTGCTGGTTGCTGAACGCCGCTGGGTGCATCTGCCATCTGTCCTGCTCTTGTAAGATACCTGTTATACCCATTATACTGATGAAATTCGCCCCATTTGTTAGGAAGTGGCACACTTACAACTCAAATCCAAGTCCAAGGTTTTGTTTTTAGTTACATCATTCTGCTTTGTAGGCTCAGATGGCTAACCGAGATGCTATCAGCCAAATGGCAGAGGTAAAAATTGGAACAGGCATCACTACTGGGGATGTGACCCATTACTAAGCATATCACGAGATCCTTTGCTTGGTGCTTTGGGTTTTATTAAGGTGTTTGTAAACACTACCCCAGATTTCTTTTAAGTACTGTTTTCTGGAATTGGTAACTCTCCATCCAGGTGTGAAAGGGCTCCTTTTTTTGTCACTGGTTTCTGTTAAGAGGAGTCTGTGTTAGGAGGGGCCTGTTGATTTGATTCAAGCTGGAGTACAGGCTTTTTATCAAGTCATCTTTTTGGACTCCCAGGAGGCAGATACAATGCCAAATTAGACACAAATTAGTTCAGTCTAGCACTCATTTAATTCAAGACAAAGGTGGTTTTGGGGGTCTACATTATCCAGATCAGTGCTTAAGTTCTGCTTTCCGCTTTAACTAGGTTTTGGTAGGATTAGCCTCCAGGCCTGCCACCTAATAACACAAGCAAAAGGCAAATAGCTGTAGCTGCAGGAGGTAGTCTGGATTCGCAGGCACTGGCTCTGGGCAGAAGGCGGCAGGGCACAGGGAAAGGGACCCTCTGTTACCTCTCCCGCAAGGTGACAGTGTGAGCCCCACTGGAACATATTCCAGCACAAGGTCAGTGCTCAGTGAACTTGTTCTATGGAGCCAGGTATTTAAAAATACTCCAACAAGGACACTCTTTTCTTCCTCTTTCTGGGAATGAGGAGGCCTAGAATTTCCTACTACAGGAGGGATGCCTAACATACTAGACAGGCAGCTGCTTCCCGGTGGGGATGAACAGTGAGTGACACTGCAGTAGATAGTGGTTCAGATTTGAGCGCTGGCTCTGCAGTTATGGTCCTTCTTCCAAATCCCAACTCTGCCAAGTGTCAGTTGTTGGGCCTTGGATATGTTACTTACGAAATCCAAGGTTTGGGTTCTTATAAAACAGAAGTGATGATAGTCTCTGTTTCATAGGGCTGTTACGGGGTTAAAAGAGCTAATGCAAAGAAGTGTGTTTCTAGTACATAGTAACTGCTCAATAAACAGAAGCTGTTAACCCAAGACACAGGTCCCCTCTGCCACAGGGTGGGAATCTCTTTCCATTCTCAAGCCAGCAGCTGGTGACCAACTCCTTTTGCGAGAAGTTCAGAGGTCATGGAGAGTGGAAAGCCCCGTGTGACACCCCCCCCAGCAATGTTTGTTGGCACTGTTTACCCCAGTGCACCAGTCCTCCTCCTCTTCCTCAGTGAGGGGAGCAGAGCGGTTTGCCCATCTGCAGGATGACAGGCGACTAGCTCAGGAATGCCTGGAGGTGAGAAGCAGGCCCCCTTCATGCTTCTTAGTTACATTTCTCCAGAAAGGAGGCACGGCCTTATTACAGCCCCTCCAGTTTTCTGTTTTTTAAATTAAATGTATTGGGGTGACATTGGTCCAGTTTTCTTTTTTTATTTTAAACCTTCAAGGGAACTCTTTAATACTACTAGTCACCTAGTCAGCACAGGTTCCAAATATGCGCGTTTTTTAAATTACGTTTATTTAGCATATGTACACATAAAAGAAACATCGCCTTCTGATCCCACCCAGCAGAAAACATGCACAAATCCAAGGTATACGTGGAGGGGAGGGGCCCCAGCCTCAAGTTAGTGGTCGGGATGGTGCAATCCTGTGAGTCACAAGCCTCGACCAGGAGAGGGCTGCACTGAAGTGCTGGGCGGCTGCAGCCCCGCTGCCGGCCCTAGAACAAGCGAGCGCCATAGCCGAAGGTCTGCTTGATGCCCTCGAAGTAGTAGCGCTGCCAGCCCTGCCGCGTCCTCTCTTCCTCGGGGGCAGGGATGCCCCGGCCTTCCATGCACACTTCAGTCTCGCCATTCTTGTCATTGAAGGTCAAGGTGATGGTGGCAAAGTGCCCTGGGGAAAGGCAGGGGAGAGGGAGCTTTCAGAGCCAGGGTTTCCATCTGGGTTTAGACTAAGGGAGAAATAAAAAGTTCTACCAGCAATGGCAATAAACAAATATGCTTGCTTACCTTCCGGCCAAGATTTAAACCTCCACTTCATCACAATGTGTTTCTCAGGGACCTGAAATAATCACAGAGGTGAGTCGATACTCCAGTCCAATGTACCCAGTCCTGGCCAGGATAAGCTACCTGCCTTTCACATGGAGTCTCTGTGCCATTACACTACTTATGAGGGCAAAGTGGACCACAGCGTAGGTAGCTTCTGTACCAATATTAGTTCCTAATATCTCGTTACTCCTAAGTTGGGTCTGGTCAACTGCCCAGGTGAAATGTTAGTGCCACAAAGAGAAAGCCATAAGCCATCAATATCTACAATCTCTCTTCCATGTTTGATTTCTTCAGAACTAATTTTAACTCCACTAAGGAAAAAATTCTAGGAAAGCAAGAGAATTCAAATTGCAGCATTCTTTGGAAAAACAAATCAAAATGAGATGTAACTAACCAAAGAGATTAACGCCTTAAATTTTACCCCCGGAGCTTAAACAGAGTACCCGTTATGCTGCTGACCAGACAGAGGCTGCATCCCGGGTCTGGGGCTAGCGGGTACTCACCAGATCAGTGAATTCCCCAGTGACGTTGCCATCTACCAGGTGAAACTTCCCACCTTTGTCTGCGTCTAACATTGCAGGAGCATGGGTAAAGGCCTGAACCAGCTGCAGGGAGAAAAAAAAAAGGGGTAAGGAGAAGAGGCACGGCTCTCAGTGGGACCCCGGGACACATGCCAACTGACACCTGCATGACTCAACTCTCATTTCCAAAAACATTTTGCCCAATGACCAGGTTCAGGTTCTATTTTGTTCCACTGCAGACCAGGCTTTGACTTGAGTAATTCTTTCTGAATCCATGATGACATGACTTCAGACCCATTTTCTAAAAATAATGATTCCCAGTGGTTCCCACTTACATGAACCAAAACTAGTCTAGATAAGAGGGC